ATGGATGAAAACAGGTTGAAAGTTGATGTGCATGGTAACTATGTACGAATGATGATAATGTATAAGAGAAGCTCATACGTGGTGACCACGCGCGAGTTAGAGGATACAAGATTGTACATGGTGACTATGGACGGAAGTTAGTAGAAAACCGGAGAGTACAGAGTAACCGTGGATGTCATGGTAAGCTTATCCAAAGAGCACGTCCACAGCAACCATGGACGCAAGTAGAAGAGCAGAGTGCACTACAGCCTTGGATGCCATGGCGAGCTTATATATAAAAATGTCCACGGCGACCTTGGACATAGTAATAGAAGCTTATCCAAATAATCTATACATGGTGTCTCTGGACATCATAGAGAGAGCTACATGGCGACTCCGTACGACAAACTACATCAATGACGTCTTTTCAAGATATTCGCACAATCAACAAAGGATTCTGCGGATCCGGATTATTGATTTGCATATCAATTCGAACATGGCGACCACGTCGTCCAAATCTTTTATGTCTTATTTTCTACTATAAAATCATGTAATCTTGGGAAAGTTAATCAAGCTAAATACATTTGAATACAATACATACAATTTTCTCTCTAAATATTATTCTGAGTGCTTTAATTATTTTCGGCTATCTATTAATTATTTTCCGGTGGATTTACTTCCATCAATGCAGATTAATTATATTGATTAACCCGATAAACCACTTGTGTTGAGGTTGTCAATCTTAGTTGATTTCATCTAAAGCTAAATTGATACTGTCGGGTGAATATAAGGTGTTTGTTATATATGGATTAGATAGTATGAGTTATTAAGGAATGATCTCGTAAAGTAATAACTACCTTCATGAATTGGAAATATTCCATGACTAAGTATATAGAGGGGATAGTTAAAGTTATAATCATGATCAATGAACATTTCTCTAAGCAGAAATGAGCTAAATCAAGTCTCTATCTCAAATGATTTATCAACTTATAATTCATTTATCTTAGTGTTAAATACTCTTAAGATCAAATAAATTTAGAACTCTCATTTTGTTACAATTTCACAAAAGAAGAAGAAATGCATTTCTTTGTAGATACTAAATATCTTACACTATACTACAACATTAGTGAAAATGTTGAATTTATTTTGAGACACAAATGACTACAGTGCCGTTAAATTTGGTGCCGTTACCGAGGAATTGGAATAATATTTCTCTGTGAGCTTTGTATGGTAAGAGGATTTTCTTTTCTTTTCTGAGCTTTATGAGGTTATATGATAAAAACTCATTCTACTAACGAAATCACAATACAAACACCCCCATAAATAGACAAGCCTTTGAGATTCTGATTTTTTTGAAGTAACGAGTCGGAGGGATCATCAAGGTCCAACAAATTTGAAGAACACATTCAGATGGCGCTGGAGACTAGAACCTTGAGGGAGCTCACAACCCCGAATCTCAACCTACAACCCCTATGTATCACCTTTCCGACTCTTGATGAAGGTGCTACATTCGAGTTGAAACCGGGACTAATTAATCTACTTCCTTCATTCCACTGGTCGAAAGGCGAGGATCCAAACAAACACCTTTCAGAGTTTCATATAGTTTGCATGAGTATGAAACCGAATGGTGCCAATGAAGAACAAACCAAGTTAGGGTCTTTTTATTCTCCCTTGAAGACACGACAAAAGATTGGCTACTTGTTAGGAAATTGATGTAACGTACCTCGAAAGTACGGCAGCGGAAGTTTAAAATTTTCCCAAACAGATCTTCCCTGATTATGACAAAATAATGAATATGATAATAATGACAGATCTGAGTTAGAACTTACAGATCTTCCAGCCTAGCGGTGATAATCCTTGACCTTTGGTATCCACGTGATTTCTCCTTCACGAAAGAACGGTTAGATCTCCCTAAGAGAAAGGCTAGGAAATCTCTTCGCAGGGAAATAAACTGGTTATACTGAATCTGAAAACTGGTCTATAAATTATGAAGGAGAAGGATGTATTTATACTAGTTCGAAACTAGTTTCTCAATCACAATGAAAGTCTTTCTAATTAATGAGTTCTAATCCTACTAGGACCAATACTCCTAATTAATTAAATAAGTAGATAAGACAAAACAAAATAATAATAATAATAATAATTGAGATGTGGCTGCACGCCACTTTCTAATTATTATATATTAATATTTATTTTATTTACTTTTCTTTTAATTCCAAATTACAAAAGAAAATATCTACTTTATTCAATAATAAATACATCTTATTTAAGTGTGATAAATCTAATTTATCTTACTTAATTAATTCTATCAAATATAACTCTCCTTCAGCTTCATGAATTAAATATGTTTAATCTAATTAATATTTAATCCATTTTCAGTATTACGAATTAAATATTATTTAATCCAATTAATAATATTTAATTCCTTCTAACAATTCAACCGGAAGGTATAATCACTTGTTGTGTGACCCATATGGCCTTATATATTAAGCACTAATCAAATTAAGGTCTTAGCGAATTCCTAGACGATTCTCCAGACAAACTTAATATATAAGGACGTTTGCGAGGACTATACAAACTCCCTGTAATATAGAGCTCATAGTGATACGGTCCTTTCATTCAGCGAACATTCAACTAAGTCTAGAACATGATATAGTGTCTATCCCAATAATTCAGTCTCTGTCTCTCAATCTTTCTAGATGATCCATAACGATCATATTCGATATCCAAAACGAATAAATCTTTGCATTGACCAATGACTTTATGATCCATCTAGATATGAGAAGTAGAATGTTCTCTCTTAATCTATTATGAGGAATGAATCCTTTCTTGGCTCAACTACTACTCCATGTGCTTCGTGATGCACCCAACACATGCCGTATCTACCCCGATTGGAGTGCAAGCGTTGGTCATGGTCAAAGTACATCACTCCGCACATGTAGTACTTATTGACCTCAAGTCGGAGGACTATTACACTACTCTATACGCCGATAATCCCATAGACACATGAATAGAACTTATCAAATGGTTTCTCGGTGGGTATGCCAATATTCTCTAAAATATCTATGTGACCATCATGAATTACAGGAACTCATAGTCGTGAGATCAACTATACTTTCTAAAAGTATGATGCAGTCCACATACCAATCTTATCGCATATCATCAATATCCCATTCTTGATGATCATTGATTGGGGCTATTTTAGGACCTTATGTTATATCATATAAGCTCCCACTTACTTATTGACAACATAAATCCAAGGGAACACAATTATGAATAAAACATTGACAATCGAAAACAATCATTCATAAAGTGTAATACCGTGTATATATCAAATATAAAAACTAAATGTGATCAAGTACATATGTCTTTAAAGAAATGATTGTCGCTAGGACATATATACTAACAATCTCCCACTTGGCCTAGTGCCAATCACCAATGCGTCTAACACCTAGATTCTCAAAATGTCTAGTATGTTTCTCACAGCTCAAAGGTTTGGTGAAGGGATCAGCCAAATTGTCCTCAGTGGAAACACGTTCTATTGCAACCTCTCCTCTTGCTATCTGCTCTCGAATCACATGATAGCGCCTCGGCACATGTCCATTCCTTTTGTCGCATCTTGGTTCCTTTGCTTGTGCAACATCACCATTATTGTCACAATAAATGGTTATTGGATGACTATCATTTGGAACAACCCCTAATTCTTTGAGGAATTCACGTATCCATACGACCACTTTAGCTGCTTCTGATGCAGCAATGTACTCGGCTTCTGTTGTCGAATCAGCTGTAGTGTAATACCGTGTATATATTAAATATAAAAACTAAATGTGATCAAGTACATATGTCTTTAAAGAAATGATTGTCGCTAGGACATATATACTAACACTACTCTCTTCCACGCACAATATATTATTACTCCTATTCAGAGAAATAAAAAATGGTTAGCCTACCGTAATAGACTACCTACATATGACAATATGGTTTACCTTGATATAGTTAATGTTTGTCCATTTTGCAAGGGTGGCCCGGAGACGGTGCCACACCTATTTTTTGAATGTATATGTACATGGCAGGTTTGGGAAAGGATTAAACTTTGGCTTGGAATCACAAGAAGAATGTCATCCTTGAAGAGTGCGGTAAAATGGATCCAAAAAGATTGCAAAGGAGCGCATATCAGGGCAAAGGCTACGAGGACATCGTTTAGCTACACAATATATTGGATATGGAGGACAAGGAATGCAATTCGGTTTGATGGAGCAACACTGAAGATGGAGGATATCATTGCACATATTAAATATATGGTGTACAAAGTGCTCTACTCATTATATCCGTATCATATGATACATTTTTGAAGCATGAACTAGTTTTTGAAGATACTATTACGAACTAGCCTTTTTTTTGTCATGAGGTGATGACTATTTTTGCTAGATGATAGATACTAGATGTTAAGCTTAGATAGCTTTTGAGGTTATAGGGTATCCTTACTTGGATATGCCTCCAATTTTGCCCATTTTGATGTACATAAACTCCGGTTACTATCTATATATTTACCTTTTCCTAAAAAAAAATGGACTCACACTTTTACACTTTTCTTGTGTTTTACTCCCATATTAGACAATTTTTTAAATATAAACGAATTGGAGTAGAAAAAGAATGAAAACTTCTACTTTGAAATTAAGAAATGTGCTGTTAATGTAGCATTTTTTTTTGGAAAAAATGTTAATGTAGCATTTGATCTATTACATCCGTCCCTTAAAACTTTGCCAAGTTTGACTGGCACGGGGATTAATAAAGTAAAAATGTGTGGTAGATGTTTGTGCAAAGAAGAGAAAATTAATTGGAAGTTAAATTATTTACTTAAATGAGAAAGTGATAAAGTTAGTGGGATATCCAGAAAATTAATTGGAAGTTAACATATTGATTGTCCGGTGGATAATCAATATGTTAACACTATTGCTTGCGTTAAGGTAAAAGTAGAAACAAGAGTAATTTTTAAAAGCACAGGCGCCAAATCACCAAATCTCCCGCGCCCTAGTCAGCTCTTCCGCGCTCTATATTTCCTCACAACTCTGGAGCCCAGTTTCGCTCCCCTCCTCCACGATCCTACCTCTGCCGTCTTCTTCCCTTGACTCTCCCCGCCGAATCCACAAAATGCACGGCCACATCTCACACCCCGCCACGCCCACCTCCGACTTCTTCATACCCAAGCGCGGCAAGAAGCGGGGTAGCTATAACTGTGGCCGTTGCGGCCTTCCCAAAAAAGGCCACGTTTGTAATTTACCCAATGACTTCACTCCCATCTCCGACACCACAGCTATCACCGAATCTACATCCTCAGTTTCGCCGTCGCCGCTCTCCATCGTCCGTCATCAGCCACCGCTGCCTCCGCATCCGCCTGCTCAGCCTGTCTATCGGCTGAGGAGAGCTCTGTCATTTGACGACATCGATATCGGTGAATCCGCCGGATCTGACGACGACGAGGAGGCATTTGATTTGCCGGATCTAGGAGGATCCGGAGGATTGCCTTTTGTTTGCGCCTGGGAGGTGCTTAGGAGGTTGCCCCCACCAGCGCTGCTATCGGCAGCAGGCGTGTGCAAGGGATGGAGGGATACGGCCAGGCGGCTGTGGAGAGCGGCGGAGGAGCTCAGACTCAGGGTTCCAGCTAAGGCTCAGATTGGACACGTCAGGTCGTTGCTGCAGAAATGCCCTGAGCTCGTAACGCTGTCACTCAGAATGGAAAGGTGTGATTCGTCAATACCCAATCAATCGGATCTAACATTTATCGAACAATTCAAAGAAAATGGAGCAACTGTTTGATAGAAGATATAAACTCCATTTTTACAACTCAATTAATACTCTTGATAACGAAATCCTCAACCAGAAACACAATAGTATACGTTTGATTGAAATCACATTATTACTAAAGACTATTAATATTTGTATAACGAGCATTGCAAGTAAACAAGAAGCTTATCTGTTAGCTATGCTTTTTGATTTGCTCTTACAGTGATGTTGATGCCACGTTGCTAGCTTGCATAGCCTTCTCTTGTCCTAACCTGGAGTCATTGGAGATCATCACATCAAACTCATCAGTAAATCGGATCACCGGGTATGATTTTGATCTTGACTTTTATAATCGTTATGTCAAGGTATATTCATCTTGAGGACCATATGACTAACTGTTTAATCTGCCCAGCCCTGTGTGAGATCTAGGCTTATTTGTGTATTAATGCATCCTCAATCTCATTACTAAGATTTTTGCTATCCTGTGTGCTTCTGTTGTTGCCCCTGCAATACATGACGATTTTTTAATGACATTGCTGTTTTTTAGTCTTTTCACATCAATAATCAACTAAAGAGGATAACCATTTGAAAATTTAGAATAGAGGTTCTGATTTGCAAATCATTGTGCAGGCAAGAGTTAGGATATTTTGTTTCAGATAGAAAATGCCTTACCAACCTCAAGATTGAAGGGTGCTCTAATCTTGGTGCTTTCAGTCTTTGTTCCACCAAGCTTTCCACCCTTTGGCTTTCAGAACTTCGTTGTCTCTCTAAGATGGTATGTTTTTCAAAGCCAAATGCTCAATAGTATAACTGTTAGATTCGTATATTAAAGAACCCCTATTTCCCCCACAGGTTTTTAACTGCCCAAATCTAAAGGAAATCTCGCTAGATTTTTCTCGTGAGGGCATAGATACCACTGATCTTTCCACAATGGTGGAGGGCCTTGGAAGGGGTTGCCCAAGACTACAGAACATTCACCTTGCTTCTACTCGCCTTTCACATGCTGTTGTGTTATCTCTTGCTGCAGCAAATTTGAGGTGTGAATGCCACTTGTTTTTTATAAGGCCACGTAGTTCTTGGCTTGCAACTGTGAATAAATTTGTTAATTTTTTTCATCTGTTCGCTAGTTTGCTGAAATAGGATAGTTCTTTTAATTTGCAGTGGATTGAGGATGCTGTCTCTTGTACTGGGATCTGAAATAACTGATGCATCTGTTGCAGCTATTGCTTCAAGCTACTCAAACCTTGAGCTACTCGATCTTAGTGGGTCAGTGTTTTACATGCTCATGACATTTTATTGTAATTGTCTTCGTCTGACCTTGATTCGTGAAAGAAGAGAAATAGAACATACTTGATGATATATTGGTAGCAATTCAGAAAATTTTTATGCTACATATCATTTATGAGAATGCCTGTTTATTTTTTATTGTTCTATTTTCAGATCTAGCATAACTGATAGTGGCATTGGAATGATATGCAATGTTTTCCCAGATTATTTGTCGAAACTTCTCCTTGCACTCTGTCCAAATATCTCTTCAAGTAATGTCCGGAAGCCTATGTTTTTCAGTTATACTTCTGCATGAGCAATGTTTGATATATATCCTAATGAGATTTTTTTTCTTAGGTGGAATTCAATTTGCCACAGCTCAATTACCTCATCTAGAAATCATGGATTGTGGAATGACCATTTCAGATCCAACTCTGGACAACCAATTCCCTGATGAGAACAATGACCACGACTTACAGAAAATGTCCAATAGCAGACAACACCATGCATACCAAAAGCTTATTATTAAACACAACCGGTTGAAGAAACTGAGTTTATGGGGCTGCTCTGGTTTAGATGTGAGCTTTTATAGTCTAACTATTAAAGTAAAGATGTTACCCAATTCAACTGTGAATTTTGCTTTATAATGACTGTTTCAAATTTTCAATGCAGGCATTATACTTGAATTGCCCAAAACTTGGGGATCTAAATCTAAATTACTGCAGTAATTTACAACCAGGTACTGTCTACAGCCTTTGTAAAGTTTCTTCTTTCCCTTAAGAGCTTGTTGATCACTTGAGCTACTATTCTATGTTTTAGTATCTAAAGCTCTATGCATTTTTTTGGGTACCTTAGAGAGACTGTCACTTCAGTGTGCCAATTTGGAAAATGTTCATGCCCTAGGATGCAAGGACATGTTGGTGGAGACTATTCATAACCAGGTATAACCTTGTAACAAATAAATGATCTTAACATGCTTCATTTATGGTTTATCTTTGCATCCTGGTACTATTTGTCTATATCATGTACTAGTCTGTTTTACTACCGGTTATGCATTTTTTTGTCATCCTCATTTGGTAGACATTTTGCTGCCTATCAGCTAGTTACCAAAAATTAACTTATTTGACTATGCTACCACAATAAGCATCTCATACAGAGTAATAAAAACTAATTAAAATAAAAGTATATTATTCATATATTCTCCTTTATATATATTGTATATATGTCCCAACAAAGGTTTGTTTCGCTAACATACAACTTTATAATGTTAGTAAGATATACTACTACTACTGGAAATCATAAATGTAAGATATATTATAGACATTGAATAGTTTAGATCATTCAACAACAATGTCTATTGTAGCCAATTTTTACCGTCATCAAGTGTGCTAATGAATCTGGATACTTGAGTAGTTAAGCTAAGCAGGAATGACACACTGTTTCATAGCTAAACTATAGTAAAAATTGCATGAAACTGGAGATGTTTTACACATCTTAAGCACGTTCCTTTTATTTGGAAAAGTCCCAGAAACTCATTTGGCTTTTTCTTCTACCAGGTTACCAGTAGCGATTTCATGTCAATCCAAAACAGTTTTCCATGCAAACGTCGTCTACCTGATGGCTCTAAAAGAATTCAAGCCTCTCATATGTTCATACCCCAGGTAGTGATACTCTTTGCAATATCAGCAAGGCTATTAGTTATCCTCCTACTCTAGAGTCATGTTTTTTAAACATACTCTTGTATTTATTATTTCAATTAAAACTTTGCAGCCATTAAACAGTGAGAAGAAAAAGAGGAAGATTACAAGAAGCAGGTGTCCTGTGCACATACATACTTAGTCTCTTCACGAGTGTCTCTATGCTTGTAGAGGCCTTGTTGTTTTTATATACTGATCATAGCCATAATTTGTATCTCTGAATTGCCAAGTTAGAGGCACATAGCTTGAAATTTATTTGTTAATTCCAGGGCAATGTCTACCTGATCATGTAACTTTAATACCAATAAATTAAACTGTAGTGCTCTTATAGGAACAGGTTGAAGGCCATTGCCTAACCATGTATTGTTTTCTCTCATTACACTCATAACAGCATTAATAAAGGACTTGCTTGAACCCCCCCCCCCCCCCCCCCCCCCCCCCCTTCAAGTAATTCATCCCTCCCTAGTTTTTGATCTGGGTGTGATACTTCTGTTTGGAATGGTGGGTTGTTAGATGGGGACTTAAAATCTAATTTTGTTTCTTATTAGCACAAATGGCCAGTTTCCATGATGTGTTCTTTCCCTTCCAGTTCGGAACACCTATACTTGCAACCGGGACAAGTAAATCCGGATGCCTGTTTGGACGGGTCTCGAACCTGCTTGGCTTTGGGCTGGCTCTAATTTATTTATTTTAAATAAAAAATCTGGAACTAGAATAATCCAGTTTTGAGCATTATTATTATTACTATAAACACAATGGGGGTGTGTTTGATAAAGGTTTTTTTGATCGATTGTGTTGATTGATTGACGACAAAATATTTTGTCGGGTGTTTTGATTAGTTAATAGTATTAGCGGAACAATTTTGAAATCGGAACAAAGACCTATATCTAATTCTCTTATGGATAGATGAACGAGATTTTAATATTTCTGAAATACAATTATATAAGACATTTATTAGATCAATTTAAATCAGACAAAATTTGTAGTCATATTAAAAACATCCTTAACTTGATCAAATTAGACCATATTTAACCAATAATAGATCAAATTAGAAACTTATACGTCCAACTAAAAACATTGCAAGTGCTCTCCAAAATCCAAATTACTGTAAAGAAACTTATCTGCTCCGGTTAACCACATCTCTCCTTCTAATTTGTTGCCCAACATGAGAGTAATCAAAGGTCAATTGGAATTGTTAAATGAAGCTTTACTGTTCTCTTCAATTGAAATAATGTCAAAACAAAATTCACTTGGGTAGATTATTGTACTTAAATTTCTACTCTGTATAATTTAGGTGAATCAAATCTGAAATAATTACAGAGAGGATTGAGGACTGGGGAGAAGAGAAATACGCGGAATTTGTTAATTCGATCCGGATACAGAGTGAAAATGTGTTTAACTACTCAAACTATAATTAAATTCGCAAATAAAGATCATCCAGATCCGTCAAGATCATCCACTGCAGAAACGGTGGCCCTAATTAAACCAAATTACATGTCCTCTGCTCAGTCCTTAAATTGGAAATGGATTTCTCAACGTCTTTATCAACGAGCTCTGCAATACTCCACCGTGCATCCTCAGGTCGGATTCAGAGATTTGTAGTTGTGATTTAGCTATATACTGCACCAGTTGTTATACGTCATCCCTCTACCGGACTCTCTCATCTTATTATACGTATACGTTCGAAGTATGTTGACGCATACGGTTGTGGCTTCATTCTATTCAAATTTGCAGAGAATTTTCTGCTGCTCAAAGGAGGGAAGTTTAATCAATGCCACTCTTCGTTTCTTCGGATTAAACGGGCAGTTGGCCCTTCAGGACTTTCAATTCCGAAGGAAAATCGTTTGCAGGTTCAGTTTCTGTTTCTATACGCACACTTGTAATCGGAATTGTTATCGCTTTTACCGTTGGCATTGTGCAAATTTAATTTCAGCTATAAAATTTTAGTAGTCTTCGAACTAGATTTTATAAGGTGGTTTACGGTCATGATTGGAAACACATGGAAGGTAAACTTTTTCCACTGTTTTATTTTCATGTTTTATAGAGTTAACTGATTTCAGACAATTTGTTGATGCTCTACGAATTTCGTACCAGTGGTTTGGATGAAGATGACACTATGACAGTGATTTACCTTATTTTTATATACTATGCAGAGTTACTGCCAATGTAGATTCTACTTACACATGCCTATGTTTTCAGGTATGCTGCCAGAAGAAACAAATTCCAGTGGTAGATGCCAGGTATGTTGTCTTTTTTCTTTTCTCATCTCAACATTTTCTTGAGCTTTAAAAATGAATTATGTACACAAGTTTCTGATTTGACAATGCAATATTATATATTTTCCTTTTTATTATGCAAGATCAAGAAGATAGATGCCTTTTTGTGTAATTAAGCGATTAATGAAGTTTTACCTTGGTAAACTTTATTCATTCTGTGTTTGTAGATGCATGGATGACATATATGATGCCTTGGCCAAACGTATTGTTCCGACTGCTGCCGCCGCATCAAATCCCCATTTTAAGTAAGTTATAGCTTCATCACCATCACAAAGGACTGTTTTTTACCTCAAGGTTGTGGGTTTTATCTTTTTTCACCGTTAAATTCTCTTTCACCAAAAGATTTCATAGCTTCTTTGGTATGCTTTTGCTGTAAGTGCTTTTAAAAGAAAGTACATTCTGATTTAAGCACTAAAGTGCAGAATGTGTACGGTAATTCCGGAGTATCGTGCCCATGGTACATCCAGATGCTTCAAAGGAGCATTCATATGCAAACTGAGTACAGAGTACTATACAGTGCATATTCAAATGGAATTGAAATGAAAAAAAGACGAACAAATAAAACATGAACATGATGAAATAAGCATTCTTCAAATGTAAAATGAGGAATTATAAAAACTACAGAAATGCACGGATTTGAAATTGTATCCGGATGTATTAGATAAAAGACATATTTACAAAAGTGTTTTCATACCAGAAAGTGGCTTCATAAAAAGCAAAAAGTGTTTTAAAAAAGCACATATTTACATTTCTCTCTCAAGTTTTAATTTCAAAGCAAAAGTATTTTTTTTAATAAAAGACACACCAAATGCACTCTCACATAAGCACAAAAATTGATATTTCCCATATTTGCACCTTCTTTTTGGGAAATTTCTTGAGCCTAACCCTTAAGTTTTCAGTATTTCTCAAATGTCTAGGATTGCATCAGGAATTTCATAGGGTATTTATTTTAGCATACCTGAAGTTGGTTTTATGGAATGTGCATAATAGAAGGCCATTCCGTGAAATAGAAAAAAACTAAGACTTACCCTGGGAATTTCATTTTTGTGTTCATTTTGTTGACGGAACGCTTCTTTTTGAAGTAAACATACTTTCCTCCCAAAACCCACGTAGTCCTTGAAAATAAGTCATCCCAAATACACACTTAGACTCTGCTAGTGCCGGGAATTGATGCTTCTCTTTCATCTTAGCATTGACTAATTCAGACTTTATCTTTAGCAAATAATATGCATGCATGTGTAGGCATATTGTTGGCCTGGCAGGTCCTCCGGGTGCTGGAAAATCTACTCTTGCATCTGAGGTGGTTAAGAGAGTTAATATGTTGTGGCCACAAAAGGCTTGTTCCTTTGATTCACAAGTGGAAACACCTGAAGCTGCCATTGTTCTTCCAATGGATGGATTCCATCTTTATCGCCACCAACTTGATGCAATGGAGGTTCAGTTTCTTAATTGCTTATTCTGTACACCTATGTGTACTTTTATTATTGTTATTTTGTTGTTATTGTTGCTATTATTCACTACCACTATTATAATTATATAAATACTCTTCTTTGGTTGGTAGGATCCAGACGAAGCACATGCCAGAAGGGGAGGTTAGGTTCTTTATCCCACTTCTCTTCAAGTAAACTACCTGCCATTGTTGCTGTTTTGTACAAAGAAGGGAACATTTTTTCATGTTAGCTGACCCCAAAATTTTTGGGATTAAGGCTTGGATGTTGTTGTCTTCACTTCAATAATCTGCTGTTTTGGTCCGGAAAAGAATATGAATAAGAACATAAAATGGGGAAACCAAATTGTACTTTGAAGTGTACGTGCATGTCTATTTTGATGATTTGATCCTCCTTTTCATATTCAGCTCCATGGACATTTGAGCCCGAACTACTGTTAATGTGTTTAAAAGCTCTGAAAGATCAGGTGAGTAGATTGTCACACCTGAGTACCTGACCTTGCTCTGAATATTGAAGTTTGAGATACGAGGCAGAATTTCTCAGTAAAACTGTATCTGATTACTGATTTATATGTGCACACAAATTGCCATGAAAATTTAGATCATATATAGATCTTGTTCTCTGCACCAGGGATCAATATACGCTCCATCATTTGACCATGGTGTTGGAGATCCGGTAGAAAATGATATTTTTGTGAATGTTCAGTAAGTAAATTGTACTCCATACTTCAGGATGCAATGTTGTTCTGTGTTTTTTATTTCACTATCCAGTAAATTAGCATTACCTACTGTTTGGGTCTTGCAGTCACAAGGTGGTGATAGTTGAAGGCAATTATTTGTTGTTGGAAGAGGGCGTTTGGAATGAAATTTCATCAATATTTGATGAAAAGTGGTAAGGGTATTATTCTTAGCATGAAGAGGTGAAAATGCATCAGAGCTTGTGTACTTCACAATTGGATAGGTTTTTGTGGACCATAGTGGACGGACTGAAATCTAACCCATTTATGATCCTTCTAAAATTCATTAAAGAAATCTGTGCATATGCATTAACCATCAATGTAATACGATGTGTGGATCCATTTGACGAACTGGACGGACTGAACTCTAACCAATTTGACAAAAATGGATCCATTAACATTTTTTCACAGATAAGCATTATGTATATCCTGTTCAATTTTTTGTGTAGAGATGATTAAGCTGTGTATATAATGATACCTTATTTAGCGTATATGTAGTATCCGGTAACGTAATATATGTCATAAATAAATTTGAAAAATTCAATGGTTAAGATGAATTTCTAGGATTCTTAGATCTGACATTTTTTTGGATGTGTGGACCCCCCCCCCCCCCCCCCCCCCCTCCACCATTAAAGGATTGGATGGATTTATTTTTGGATGAATGGGATGAATGGGAATGAATCAGTAATCTGATTTTACTTGCATAATGTCTGCCTTACTATTTAGTTTGTTTATCTGATCTTCTGGAGTTACTGCCTGCTTCATTGGATTAATAGATGAGATGACATTTTTTGTTATCTTTCAGTTTTTTTTTTGTTTATAACATTATGCACTTATTTGGAAGGTTTATCGATGTTGACATTGAAAAAGCAATGCAAAGGGTTTTGAAGAGGCATATTGGGACAGGTATTTCTTGAGGAACCACTGGTCTATTATTACTCTATTGTCACCAGGGTGCCAAGTGCCAATGAGCAGAGCCTAGCTCAAAGCTCCAAAAACATATAATAGCTTGAGATCGAGCTCAATCTTAATATCCTCGGCTCGAGTGTTGCTTGTTAGTTTTAGCAAGGATCAAGCTAAGACAAGATGCTTGCAACCGAGCTCAAGCCTAAAATACATTTCATATGTTTAATATGATTAATACTGTTTCTATAGATGTAAATAAATAACACGGAGTATTATTTATGTTATGGCTCGTGCGTCACGAGCCAAATGGAATGCTGCTTGAGCTCGGCTCGATTGCTTAACGAGCCGATTAGAGTTCGGCTATTGTTCAAATTTGACCAAGCTCAAGTGGAGTTTTGACCGAGCGACTTTATTCGCTTGCATGCTAATTGGCACTTATTTTGTTGAGAGAAATTATGAGGCTGGAAAAGAATTGACTAATTAGGGTCTGCATTCACTCTTTTTTGTCGTCTTTCTGGGCTGCGTAGGGAAACCTCCTGATGTTGCTCAATGGCGGGTATATTTTTTTCCACCTGTATCTGAACAAATAATCAATTAGTTGCACACAGACCATTCAGTGTCATCGTCTTTGCTAAAGTTTAATTACACCTTTGCAGATTGAATACAATGACAGACCGAATGCTGAACTTATCCTTAAATCTAAGAAAAACGCGGATTTGGTGATCAACTCAATCGACTCTTAAAGATGATTCAATCCCAAAATCCTCTTACCTGAAATATGAAACCTGTTTCGAGGAAGAGACCTTATGATGGAAGCTAAGTGGCAGATGTATACGTAACATATAGTTTGATGTAGTACTCGAAATATTTCATCGACTAGTGTTTGGTTTATATTTTAAAAATTTAAATAAACACAAATAATGTACTAGTACGTTATTAAGAGCAAAGTGCCGTTTGGCAGGGGACGTTTTTGTCCAAGCCGCTATCCATTTCCTTCCTTTTGGCTAGTAAAAAACAATACCTTCGGGACCTAGGTGGCTAGGGAAGAGTTATTCCTCTATTTCCAGTGGAAAAATCCATATGCATTCCAAACAAAGCAGAAAATTGTCACCGCCTAAAAAAATAACCACTTTTGGTGTATAAGTTTCGGTTATTCCCATGAGATTTTCGTCTACATAGACAAATTGTTTGTGTTTTATGTTTGATAGATTTTCTTGCCTATCCAACTAGGGTGATACACACAATGTTTGTTGTTGTACTAAATTAAGTCTCTGGCCAAATTAAATTTAAACAGACTAAACTTAGATAACAAATACACATAAAGTAGATCTTCATTAGACCAGTTTAGAATAGACTAGCAGACTCTATTAGATCAAAATATATCAATCCAAATGAAAACACCACTCAGCAACAATATGTAATTAATTATTATTGATGGATACAACTCGCACAAGTAAATTAAAGAAAACCAGGGCAGAGGCAGCCAGGCAGTAGCCATTATTAGGGAAACAATAAAATGGAGATACTTAGAATATATATGAGGTACAAAGTACAAACAACAGTTCATGCACGATGACTAGTTAATTAAAAGTCTTTCAAACGATGGCAACCTTAATTTTACTTACTGCAGGGTCTTGTGCCCTCGATCATTGATTAAAATAAATAAAACAACCCTAGCTTAATTGTACTTAGTAATAACTGAAGATACACCAAACCATGCATAACCATCATATCATGCACGCAATAAAAATTACAAACAGATCAGATTGTATCACATTGATCTTCGACACCACCACCTTCACTCATTCTGTTAATCGACAGATCGATGTCTATCCCCAGCCCCGCCAAAAGTACCCGAAAGGTCGTTCATTTTCAGCTTCTGTTCTTGCATTTTTCCATAGCTCTAGGTGCTGCATCCATACATGTATCCCATTCTTAATATATACTCCTTAATGTCTTGAACATTAATGTTCAGATAGAATACAAAGTTATTTTTATAAAATCTTGGATAGATGAATTACTCATATAGTATATACGCTAGGATGTCGATAAATGTCGATGTTGAAGATATTAATAATGGCGAAACTTTTTAAAGATTATAGTTTTTTTTTGTGAAACTCAAAATATGAACATAATTTAGAGATGAGATATACTGTAATGAGTTATCATGACTTACCAAGTCCTATTGCTTCTGTTCCTTTCATAATGCGCAAGCGCTTGCATGATCCCACAAACATCCTGGGATAAACAATATTGATAATGCATGAGTAGAATTTTCAAAGATAAGCATGTATAATGGAGTGGTAATATCAATTAATTAAGTTGGTATAATTAATAATGGGAAAATGGGCAAATAAGCCCTTGAACTAACTGAAAAAGCCCAAATCACCCCTTTTATAGGAGGCTCTGTCTGGACGTCACCATTTGAGGTGTCTCCCAATGGAATTTTTTGATGAAATTATTTTCGCATCTTCTTCATTAAGTCTAGTTTACCCATAAAAAATCTTAGCTAAAAATTCAATCGTGAAGGCAGTCAACTAAATGTTTGAAGATAACTGTGCAGTTAAACAGCGCAGTATATTTCAGAAAACCATTTGACTGTCTTCCCGGTTGAATTTTTACTTGAAATTTGGTATGGGTAAACTAGACTTAGTGAAGAAGATGCTCAAAAAAATTCATCAAAAAATTCCACCGTTAACCACCCCAAATGGCGACGGCCAGACAAAACCTCTTATAAAAGGGGATGATTTGCACTTTTTCTATTAGTTCGAGGGCTTATTTGCACATTTTCCCATAATAATGTATGAATAGGAAGGGGTAGCTGGAATTATAAGCTAAGCTTACTCCCATGGAACATCGCCGACAAGCATCCAATCACCATCCTTGTCCTCATAGGTGGGGACATAATCAGAACTGTTCAACACATTCATCAGCTTTTTCTCATTCATGAAATCCTTCATCCCTCCTTCCCCTTCACAGTAGTTGCCTGCTTATTCCAGCTACACTTATTAATACTCCTTAATTATACATATATTTCCAACCTGATTAATACTTTCATATTTAATATTATTGTAATTAATTTAAGCTCTCTCAAGAGAAAACAATATACTATGTATAATGGTTCAGCAGAGTTTGTTTAATTTGTGTAAACCGCTTTTCATTTAGACCAAACTCACTACGATGAAACTTAACAGGATCTAATTGATCAAACTAAGTTGATTCTCATATATCATATTAAAGCTTGAAGTTTCGTATACGTGCCCGTGTGGGATGACTTAACATTTTTAGCCTCTTATAGTCATCATACTCATGATTATAGTAAAAAGTATGTCAAAATGTTAGGATTCGAGCGTCAGATCAACCTGATATAAGGAGTGACTTGTATCTTAATATCACACTTTATTACTTCATAGTTTTATGGTTAGAGACTTCAACACCCCTGCTCACGACCAGACACTTCGTCTGGATCGTGTTGTTTCATTTTTTTCAACGATTCATCATTGTCATTATTTTATAATCAGCACCATCGATCTTTTCATATGAGGCCCACTCCATGATTAAAGATCGATTTGACTCTGATACCATGTTAAGAGTCATGATAGGAGAAGCAACTCATATCTTAATATAACAATTTATTACTACACAATTTTCCACAATATTTGATTATGAATTGTTACGTTTGTCTCATGTGTGTGTAATTTTTTGACAATGGTGGACCCTGAAAAAAATTGAAGATTAAACAGATTTGGTTCCATAGGAGTATAGAAGCAATGAATCAAACTTGTTGGGTGAAAAAACTGAACAAAACCAAAATCCATCAGTGACAAATCTAAATATTCTACGTATATACATTTGACCTGGTCCGAATTTGGGTATACACCTTAGTACCTTACCCGACAGAATCACGCATATCCTAATGACTTGCATTTGATATGTATGTACCATGAGACGGAATATACCCAAAAATATAAAATGCATTATTATCTGACTTATTTATTTTAACTATTTTCCCACACATTTTGTCATTTTGTGTGTGTGGTAGGGACTTGAAGTTTACATAAAATGAATAATGGAATACTAGCATTCTTATGTTTTCAATTGAACCGAAATTACTCCTATTTTTAAAATAAAATTTATCTATTTATCTATACTTCAATCATATATGGAGCAGTTTCTCAAACTTTTTACCCAGAAATTTTCCGCTAACTATTTCATTGGATACACACATACATGCAAGTATACATTGAGTGCAATTTACTGATTTATTTATTAAGGTTCGTTGACATGAGCCATATCTAAAGACTAATAATTAAAGCTCCTATTTAGGAGTAAAAACAAAATTTAAATGCAAAAGTCATACTTAAAATATGAGAATAAAAAAGAATTGGGTCGAGTAAACAAAAAAAAGGATGACACCCCATCTCTAAGTCCCCAACACCGACCGAACAGTTAGATGAGAGGATATAAATTGGACTTTAATTACAAACTTGACAGATAGAGAGTGAGACTCTGGCCTTGGTACTTGAAGAGCTCTTATGCATTTTAGCATAGTAAACTCTCATGCAGTTATCGGGATTCGAACTCGAGACTTACACGTTGAAGTACCCCTGTCTACTGGTTGAGTAAACAAGTGACAAGCTGGAAATCATTTAGGACGAATAAATAAATGAATTAAATTAAAGGCCGTACCAAGAGTGAAGGAACCAAACATCTTGACAAAGGCATGAGAGAGGTCTTGATAACTTTTGTACATGTTGAGGTCCACTTTTCTAAGGTAGGGTGCACCGTCCATGCTCACCTTCACCAGCACCGCCCCCTTGTCGCTGCTGCCGCTCTCGCTGCCACCGCTCCCCTTCGCCGCCGCCGCGATCACATTCTTCCGGAAAGCCCGCACTGGTGGCCAACCCACAACCTGTGCCCTGTCCAAAAACAATTATTCAATTGATCAATTATCCCACTCCCCACCTAATTTGACCTTGAATTCATGGAAACCGTTTTTGTATTATAAAGTGTTCTATTCACATGGGTAACATTTTTATATATGTCCCATAACTTATATTTATACCTTTTATTAAAGGGTAGTTATAATTACCTCCTCTTCATGTTTTCTAACTAAATTTCTTATCACATTAAGGAAACAATATGTATATGTGAGTAAAATTACAAAATTACTTTTAACAAATTAAACAGTCATGAGTTATAAGACTAATGATGAGTACAAACATAAATTATACTCCGTAGAAAAACAACATATGCAATTTATCCATCAATGAATATGACCACCTTAAAACTTGGCCAATTTAACCTTTTTTAGTTAATGATTATAAACTTTAGACAATAATTTTAACTATTATATATTTGTGTGTAACTTATAACTGTTATATTATTATATATGAAAGTACTTTTAATAAAAAGTATTTTCATATAATTTTAATATTCAAAATAATTTCATATTAAAAAATATCATCGGTCAAACGGTCATCATCATTCCAGAAAAATCAATATGATCAAGTTTATAAAACGAAGGGAGCCAAGTTTGTGGAATAGGTGAATTAGCACTTGATGAGAATTGAACTATTTTATAGGACGAAGGAAGTAACTAATTATAAATAGTAAAAGTGACAAGCACTCAAAACGATCAGCAAAACATGCATGTTCAGCTTTAAGGTTTTGAAAATAAACAAAAGAAAACAACATTAAAATATGCCATAATGAACGTAATCTTAATTTATCTTATTCTATCTAGAAATGAACCACTAGTCACTACTACATACATATTAGTCCATGCAGAATATATAAGAAGTGAAAGTTTTCACCATATTGTTTAATTAAGTGTTGAAGTTGAGATAGATTATATTCTTTAAATTGGTATGAAAGTCCGAATATGCATGACTTAATTATGATTATTGTGTTTGAAGAAACTTATATTTAGAAATTAAAAAGAGTATGTTAAAGAAAATGAAACACTTACTTGGCTGGAGGTTTGACTGAATCCTTATCATGATTGACCTGATTCTCATCAGAAACA